AAACGCGCGCGCGTTTTGGCGTGTCCGGATGCGTGTGCGTGCGGGCGTGTGCCTGTGTGCAAGGGATCATTGAATAAGATTCTCTAGGAATATTGTAGTATTTTCTGTGTCAAACATGCTCCAACAAATCTAACAAACGCTTCACTAGATGGCGTAAGAACACCGTAATCGCGCACGAATATCTTGACACGCGACGAAAGAGCAGTCAGCGTTTCAACCATGATGTCATACGCCTGGCAACCAATACCAACGTGTGTTACAAACTGCTAGGATATTACAACTGATACGGATCAGGAAAACTTCACATAGCACATCTTATAAATTTCATGCGGAAAACTTGTCTGAGCTGCAAGTATAGGTGTAGTGGTAGAACAATGATGGAAAGGAGCCTTCTGATGCCAGTTTCAGGAGTCTTAGCTGTTATATTGTGTCTCTGCGCATCGTCTGGTGTTGGTAAGTTGGCGCAACCACCTAACCTATTCTTACGACCAGACCATGTTGTGTTGTGTTGTGTAGTCTGTAGATGTATCATGTACTGTAGTCTGTAGTACGTTTTTGATGTGTAGACTGCCAGCACACATTGTGATTTGTGTGCGGGGACAAGCCTGCGTTAGTTCCCTCTTTATTCTGTTTAGGGTTATGTTGATACTAAACGATTCTGTCATTGCTGAGGATATCAAGAAGTACACTTGAGCTGAGTACTAGTGCCAGTGGTTACGATAATATTATTAATAATATGATTATGACTATGAGTCTATTATTAATATTATTACTGTTATTATTACATAACTGTATCAATACTCTTTACTCACTTTACCACCGACAATGTGATTGTGAAGCGTTTTATTGCATTGCATAAAAACACTTCACTTTCTGAACGAGCCTGTAATGTAAAATTTTGTCAAATCTATTAACAATATTATTTGCGAGCAAACTTGTCACTTCTAATTGCTATCATGCAAGTGGTAGATACGTATTTTGCCAGAATTGGCATTGGCATCAGCGATACCAACTGGATGCATGCAACTGGATGCAGTGCGCGGAATTAGTGCTATTTTGCCGGCGGCCGCTGGTTCAACCCCCTAAACCGTCGGTTCAACCCGGCCCCAATATAATGAGTCCACTTGGCCTATTCAAAATTGTGCTTATCTTGTCTTTATATCAACAATATTTACTAAATTCCTGACAAGTTTTCACTTAGTGACTGCTAAGAAGTAAATCATGTTCCAGCAATTCCTGTCAAACAAGTAGAACTCCACTGATAGCAATGAAATACAGAAATACTAGCTAATACATTTCTTAATAGTGAAATAAATTGAACAAAATGAAGGGCCTGTTCAATTTGTCTAAGGGCCTGTTTAAAATTTTGGGTGGGACTGTTCACATTTTCGCTAATTTCATGCCCTGTGGGGCTACTTTGACCCTCACAGCACTCGTTTGTTAGTAAGTTTACTATTCTTTTTTATTAAACTCAGTTCCAATAAAAATTTTAAAACGATCAT